AATAAATATTGTTATTCCCTTGCAACTGACTAACGAACGAACTCTCTGCTATTCAACTAATTCCTCAACTAACTGTAACAACCATCCATCTAACTAATGAATCATGTGCGCATTTATTCTTGCACATGCAGAATACTATAGATAAGAGAGTAAAAAAGCAATTCAATCCAAATACACTAATAGTAAACTGAAGGAAGGATTCAGTTTACTATACGAATTATGAATGACTGTCCTTATGGTCTTCTCCACCTTAATTCACTTGTAAGTTTGGTTTTCTATTTCTACAAATAAACAAATAAATAAATAAATAAATATACACACACACACACGGCCATGTTTTGGATCTTTGATTTCTATTTACTAACCAAATTACGAAAACTTGTTTGTCTCCAGCAATAATTAACCATCAAACACTAAGAGAACCGATTCTTTTTCATGGGTTCGTATCAGCATTCAACCAAATTGAGATGCATTCTGCGAGCGTAATTGTAGCATTATTATATTATAAAAAATATACCGTGCACCTTCTTGCTTATTCGAAAGAAAACCTCGCAGAAATCTCGAGAAAACGCAGGATGTAGCTCTCCCTCTCTGTGATGAAACTTATTGATGAAACTTTCGGTGGGCTTAGAGGCAAGATCAAGAACCAGCTTTATCAAAAATCACAGGAGCCAATAAACCCATCTTTCGAAAAACACAATTAACTGATAACAGATCTTATGCAATGTATTATATAATTCTCCATTTTCAAATTGAAGTTACAATCATCTTCCACACTCATCATATTCTCAATTGTTTAATATAAAAAAATAAAACGAGTTAGTAGATTCTCAATTCACAAGACCAAGTTTAATGACTAATGAAGAAACCAAGTTGTTCCGTGAATTCACAGTTTGCCTATCTACTGGGCAGAGTCTTGAAAATTGCAGGGGCAAGGAAGATTTAAATGACCTGAACTAGACATCATTTAAAATTAAAAGAATAGATGGTTCTTACCTTGGCTTGAAAATCTTAGGAAAGATAGATGTGAAAGAAGATTCTAGCGGGCACTCTTCCTCTTTTCCACCCCTACGCTATAACTAATTCTCCGCTTGTAGACGCTGGATGAGACCAGAAGAGGGCATCTCTGATCTACCGATTCACCACTGAACGGCTTTGGCTTTCTTCTTCTACTCGACCGATATAGTAAAAGATCACTTGGATTACGTTCCTGAGAGGCTGAGATACCAGATCTCTTGGTTTTTCAAACTTTAAAGAAAGACATTAGGGCAGAATACATGGTTCTTTACTTCTTTGCTTTTGCTATTAGTGAAGTTAATACACACACATGTATGCTGGGTCTCGCCCGGGTCGACCGGGTCACGAATGGATCGCGATGGTTCCTCCCAAGAATATAAGATGCACCTTCCTCCTACTGGCCTCGAACATCTTCGTAATGAGCTGAGATATCTGCGATGGCATAAATTTCCTTCGAATTCCTTGCCGCCATATGTTCGTGCTGAACACCTTGTCGAGCTTCACCTACGCAAAAGCAAGCTTGAAAAACTTAGGACAGGAGTAAAGGTATGATTTAATTGCTACAGATTTATGATCAGAAATATGAAGTTGGAGGTGCTAACTTTCTAATTATGCCTATTTCTGTTGACAGGATGTTGGAAATTTAAGAAGAATTGACCTATCTGACTCTCCATATTTGACGGAATTACTAGATCTATCAATGGCAAAAAATTTACAGTGCTTAAGACTTGCGAAGTGTCCAAGTTTAACCGAGGTTCCGTCATCTCTTCAATATCTTGACAAGCTGGCAGAAATTTATCTCGAATTTAGCTATAATCTTAGAAGTTTTCCAATGCTTTATTCACAGGTTCTCAGAAAACTGACTATATGGCGGTGCCTAGATGTGACCACGTGTCCAACGATTTCACAAAATATGGTACGGTTAGAGTTGAAACGAACTTTAATAAAAGAAGTTCTACAATCAGTTGCTGGCACGTTGGAATATCTTTATGTAAATGGTTGCTCAAAGATGACCAAGTTTCCGCAGAATTTAGAGGATATAGTAGAATTAAATCTAAGGGTAACTGCTATTAAAGAGGTGCCCTCATCAATCCAGTTTCTCACAAGACTCCGTGATTTGGATATGAGTGGTTGCGCAAAACTTGAGAGCTTCCTAGAAATCACAGTGCCAATAAAATCTTTGGGTATTCTTGACTTGAGTAAAACAGGCATTAAAGAGATACCCTCGTCATCATTTAAGCATATGTTATCTTTGAGGTTTCTATTTTTAGTTGGAACGCCTATGAAAGAGCTACCCTTGTCAATCAAAGATATGGTACGTTTGCAATATCAGTATTTGCATGGAACGCCTATCAAAGAGCTACCCTTGTCAATAAAAGATATGGTATGTTTGCAACATCTGACTTTCCATGGAACGGCTATTAAAGCGTTACCTGAGCTTCCCTCTTCGCTGACATTAGGGTTTCAAAGGGATTTCACAAATTGCTTCAAATTGGATCAGAAACCGCTGGTAGCAGCAATGCATTTGAAAATTCAGGTATCTCTCTAAACCCCCTTGTCTTTCTTTCTTCTCTCTCTCTTGCTTGCTTCATCACATTTTCGAAATGTGACTCTTGTGTTACAGTCCGGAGAGGAGATCCCACATGGCATAATTCAAATGGTTCTACCGGGGAGTGAAATTCAAGAATGGTTCGGTGACAAAGGAATTGGATCTTCACTCACCATACAGTTGCCCTCAAATTGTCTTCAGCTCAAGGGAATTGCTTTCTGCCTTATCTTTCTACTCCCTCCCAGGACATGCCTTATGAAGTCGATGATGTTAATGATAATTTATATCTTGATTACCATGTTAAGAGTAAAAACAGTGAGCATGATGGTGATGATGAAGTCGTCTTAGATTCCCAGAGAAGCCTTCTATCACGTTACTTGAGGGCATGTGACTCAGATCACATGGTTCTACGCTACGAGGTCGAATTGGTAAAGCATTTACGTAAATATTCCGGCAATGAAGTTACTTTTAAATTCTACTGGGGAAGGATGGAGGATCATGAGAGCAGAAGGCCTTTCGAGTTGAAAAGCTGTGGGGTGTATCTGCACTTTGATGAAAATCTACGGGCGGACACGGACAGCTACATTTATTTATGACTGTTCAGAAGAAAATAAATTGAGGGAGAAATAAAAGAGATTGAAAGGGAGAGAGAGTTATGTAGTTGCTGCAAATTGATCTTCAATTATTACTTGGTTTTCAAGATAGCTGTAAATAAATATTGTTATTCCCTTGCAACTGACTAACGAACGAACTCTCTGCTATTCAACTAATTCCTCAACTAACTGTAACAACCATCTAACTAATGAATACTAACAACAAAAGAAAAACAGTAAGTAGTCAAGATTCTGTTATTGCATATATTATAACTCTTTAAATAAATAAATAAACTTAAAACTAAGAAATATAAAAATATAAATAAAAAGTAACAAAAATTTTTGAACCGAATTGGGGACCTTAACAGCTAACCAACCTCGCTATAAAACTGGATCCATAGAATCTCTTGACAAAATTTAAGGCCTCTGAAAGTTACAAGTGTATCTACCAGATTGATTACTAGCCACAACCTAGACCTCTTCCTAGATTTAGCCAAGTGACCTTCTTAGATTTAATGCCGCCTCCATAATTATACACCCCACACTCCAATAAATGCCGCCTCGATCACTATTTTTTTTTATTTACATTCTATTTATTTACTAGAAAATAATTTTTAAGAAAAAAATAAATTATTTTTTAATATTTAATAATGTAATAAAAATAAGTTAAAAAATAATTTCTAATGTGTTGTTATGTCATGAAAAATGAGCTAAAAATATTAAAAGTTTAAGGATCAAATTTGATATGATCAGCAAATAATAACATTTCTAAATTTTTCACAACTTCCAAGAAGTGTTCTCTGTCTAAATTTTTCAAAAAAACACTTTCCTGAAAATCAAACTATATTTTCCTTTAACTAGAAAGTGTTTTCTGTTGACCAACTTTTCTAACGACAAACAAACACAAGAAAGTTTGAAAAGTGATTTTCAAAAACCACTTTCCAGAAAACAAACATAGCAAAAAAAAAAAAAACATTTTTCTGAAAACCAAGCCAAATTTTTTTTGACCTGACCGGAAAGTGTTTTCCGTTAACCAACTTTTTTAATGACAAATAAACACGGGAAAGTTTGAAAAATAATTTTTCAGAAAACAAATATGGCCTTAATGGAGTCACTGATTCAGGTGATGGATTCGGAACTTCAGTTTCAGATGGTTGGGATTCATGCTTTGCAGCAGCTTGCAGCACCCGGCTTTCAACATCTGAAGATGAAGGTGATGCAGGTAAACCAATGCGGTTGTTTTCCAGTTTTCTTGCTGCCCATGAAAATTCCTGGACTCCAAGTCTAACGGGAGAGAGCAAACGCCTTTAAAGAAGCGTTTGAAATCCTAGTTAATCAAGATTACAACAATCCAAAAACTTGGTTAAACATGATCCAACTACTGAAAAGAAACTAATTGCAAACACCTTCAAAGAAGCATTTGAGATCCCAGTTAATCAAAAATCTTAACAATCCAAAAACTTGATTAAACATGATCCAACTACTGAAAAGAATCTAACTTTGAAAATGATTAAACAACTTCTAAACGTCTGGTGGAGGTTAGGAAATATGAACCTTGATAATGTCATAGGCAGTTTGCTTATCAACATGACTCAGGCTTCTGACATGATCAGAACATGGTCAAGAACCTAGTGTTGAAAGAACATTTAGACACAGAAGAGATTTGCCATATATAAATTTTTCCGTGCCCTTTACTGTGCAAACACCAAGGTTCATTTTGTTAATGTTGTGCTAACATATGACACCTATCTATCTACTAGGTGCGTCTTATATAATTCATTGCGCATTAATAAACATAGACTTGATTTCAGAGCTGGTTCCATTATGACTTACAAAATTGTGCCAATTACACCATAAATACATTAAGGACAAAAGATTTCCGGAGTAGGTTATACCTCACATCTTCCTTAAAATCTTCAGGGTCATTGTAAGAAGCAACCCGCTGATAAATAGTCTGGCGGAGTGTGAGAATCCAAAAATTAGAAAAACTCAAGGTTCACTTAACTAAATTTATCAATGACATAAACCTTTCCCTAGGACACACGCAAAATAGACAAAGGGAATCTAGTTTAATGGTCGTATACATGCTATTTTTACAGAATACATCAAAGGATCTGAGTACTAGCACAATATCAGAATGTGTGAATTTTGTTTTAACCATTATCAGCTCAGCAATCGACATCTATGTGTGTGTGAAAGAAACATTAACCAGAGCACTATAACAAATAAAAGTATACCTGACTGAGGCCAATGATGGCAATAAATTGTAAGGTCTTCTCCCACTCTGAAACAAAGTTCAAGCTTGGTTGACAAGAAGAATGTGAGGACAGCAACAAAAAAGAAAACCATAGTCTGTCGAAACATACACAATTCCTATGGCAGCAACAAAAAAGAAAAGAAAAAGAAAACCATCGTCTGTCGAAACATACACAATTCCTATGGCTTGCATACCCAGTTTATGGTAGCCCATCAATTACATATATACAAACACTCATGATGCACATGTTCATACAAGTGTGATTGCACATAGCACACTCTTTTTATTTGTTTTTGAAATAAGTCTCTCCACGTAAATTTACACACGCATTGCACAGACACAAGTACATCTCATATGCCTCTGTGTGCGCATGTTGTTCTGTGCAGTGTGGATACCATTTTGATAGTATCCATTGGGCACCAATGTGCACCCAACAAAGAAATTTCACTCTTTCCATGTGTTTTTGAAACAAATGTCAAATTAATCAACTCTCTAGGTTTATCTCAGCTGGCTGAATATATTATTGTATAATCTACAGCTTGTCATTTTCCACACATATACTTTGAGTTGATTGATGGCTTTCGGCAAATAGAATTTTGTATTTCTAGAAATTTATACTAGTTAAGAGAATATGCAAGTCATGCAATAACCTTACCTCATTAAGTATGGTTAGCACAGTCTCAGGTTTCAGCTCCTTGGCTTGGATACCTTGTTTTACCCAAGACTGGAAGCCACGTTGGACCAAGTATGGTCTCTGTCACATAAAAATGCAAACAAACAATTAGCAATATGATACAATAGGTTGTGGTTCCAGATTAACAATAGACTAACCTGGCAGTTTCAAATTTTCTTATAATGCAGGTCACAAGGTTTAATTCTGCAAAATTCTACTATCTTCTCTATCTAAATTATATGATTAGTCCAGGAATGAACCATGATATCATCTAGAATTCATGCATTTAACTTGTTTCTCTGCAAGCCATTTACAGCAATATATGGAGTGAAATAAAAGAATAGTGAATTTGATTAATACATTGCAACTTCCCATTCAAGCAAGGTAAAGACTTTTTTTTTTGAGAGAGAGAGAGAGAGAGATATTTTAAGGACATAAGTTAGATGTAATACTAATGTGCTTTCTGAATTATACCACTTGAGAACAACCGGAATGAAAATTGGGTTCTATCTATAGCATTTATATGACAGAAAAACATGCATAAGGAGTAACGGTTTTTGACTTAACAACATTGTAAATGCACAGAAGACATTAATGTACTCTTCCCAAATCTGGTTAATATGGATATTGTTATTTGTTTCTAAGGTTACTGATACTGAAAAACTCTCAGAAATGTTTTTTATCCCAAAGAAACTTGACTAAAGGAGAGTGGATAAATTCATTTTGCCCTTCTAGTTCCATGATGAATTAGATGTTTAGGCTTTTATGTGATAAAAAAAAAAATTCTTAGAGATTCCAAATACTTGCCTTAACCCCAAGCATTCTCAAGGATCTAGCGATGCCTTTAGAACGAGAACCATCAGCATCCATAACCATTACCTGGTACCTGTCCTACAGTATAAGGAAAAAAAATCTCGGAGACAATGTTCCTGCTTCAGGATTTAAACATGGAACACTCAGGAGATTGTGATGTAGCAACTGTACTGCATACGGTAATACCAAAACAATTTCTTGTGTCCTCAGAGGCCACTGATGCTAAAACACACAACATTGATTAAACCAAGCCCAAATCCCTCCCCCAGAGAATTTCCTTTCTTTCTTGCACTACTCGGAATTCTCATTTTTCTGAATATCTCAAAACAATGACGGCATGCATAAACAATAGTTATATCAAAGCTCTTAAAACATAAAGCTATACCTGTACAGCTTTCAAGTTTCGAATGACTGCAGCAGTTAAGATGTCATCAAGATCCGTCCACCCTTTAAAAGCTTCCTTACTGGCCATCAACCTGAATAAAGTTGAAGAATATAAGACAGAGTTATGAAAAAGGGAAACCACCAAGCTCTGTCATAACCAAATTTTTGATTTTTTGTTTTTTTTTTTATTTATTTACTAAAACATTTTGATAAAAAAAAAGTAAATGAAGAATGAATTAAAATTTGAGTTAATAAAAACATGATTGGAAAGTTTAAATATTTAATTAAACTCTTGAATAGTTTAATTAATTAAATCAAGGTTTAATTGGAGAATTAATAAATTTTGAGACTTAATTGAGCTTGGGATTAAGTTAATTAATTAAAAGAAATTGAGGAATTAATGAGTTTGAGGACTTAATTAAACTTTGACTTAATTAATTAAAAGAATCAGGGGTTTAATTAAAGAAATACCAAAGTTTGGGGGTTATTCAGAAAATTACTGGAAAATTAAAATCCAAGGACTAAATTGAATAGTTTAGAAATTCAGGACTGTTATGTAAACAATGTACCAATTTAGGGATCTAATTGAAATTAACCGATAAAGGGCAAAAATTGAAAGAAATTTTAATTGAATTAAGATCTCAATTGTTAAGTTCAGGGACCAAAGTGAAAAATAGCCTAAGGACAAACGACGCCGTTTGGAAGTCCTGTGCTGCATCCCTTCCATTTCGCACGGGGAATACCGGTTCCACAGGAAATCGGCAACAGTCGTGGATCACGTCTCTTTCCCATGATCTCATCCACGATTTGAATA